ATAAGCTTCGATTACATTTTTTGGAAATATGTATAAGGATAATAATAGTCTTATATTTCCATCATATTTTCACAAAAAAAAAACTCTACCGCTTATGAATTTAACTTACCATTCGGATCGGTTCCACAAACACCAACTTACTGCCCGCCGTAAAAAGACAAATAATAACCAGAGAATTCAGCAACGATAAGGCATAGGACACATGAATTGCTTTCTGAAAGATTTTGGCACTCAGAAAACGACCATGCCAAGCGAGTTGATTATTCGCCGCAGCAATAATGGACCAACAGCCGCTCATAGTATAAAGACAACGTTGTAGTACGAAAACAAAGGTCTCTACCCACACTGAATAGCCACGCCCCAATGGAGCGGGTCGCATACAAATCATAAATACCAAATGAATGAGTTGGCAGTAGAAATTCGTTAATAATTTAAAAGATTGAAGCTGTGCATTATATTCGAGGTAAAGCCAACAAGTGAGAGCACCGAAGAGATATGGAAAAATTCGGACTAGCGGATGCGCATAGAACTGGGTAAAGTACGTAAATGTGGTCTCCAAAGATATCTGAAAGTTCACCTGTAAGCCCACGATTGTTTGATATACCAAAGATGATATCATTAGCAGCAAAAGAGAAATCTTAGCATACTTTGGGTGTCTGGAAGAAGAAAAAGTTTTATACTGTATATATATACATATATTTTCGAATTTGTCAATTTACTTAGCATAAATAACCAAGAGCACTGTCAAGGTGATCGTAAATTGCATTTCCAAAGACACAAACCAGGTCCATGCCAAGCACATCTCTTTATGATTGTATAAATTGTGTATGAAGAGCACGTTGCGCCACCAGTAATGCTCGCAGTTTTCCGTTACAAAACCCGATAAATTAAACACGGTTGTACTGTCGTTGTATTTCATCGTTAAATAGGTAACACATAGCATAAAATAGTAGAGTGGTGCTAATCTAGAAATAACATAAAAAAATAAATACGTTGTATTCTTCCCCAGTAGGACAGTCTATCAAGAGAGACTAATTGTTCATTATGGTTTTATGTTCGCTTGTTAATTTCAAAAAATCGATTTTTCATTTTGCATAAAGAGCCCCGGCCCTCTAGTAATTTAATATCTCCTAAACCGTTCAAGCGTCCCTACTTTCCTTGCCAATTCGGAGCTACCAAAAATGATGTATAACTATAAACAAATGCGTCAGTGATATAAAACAGTATAAATTCAATATTACTACATTTCGACCCCAATTACACGGCATCTTTTTTCGGAGCTCTTTTTGGAGATCGACTAGGGGATAACGGGAAACGAAAATTTTTCAAAATTAATCGACGATTCTCAAAGTAAGGTTTGAGGAGAATAAAACAATAGAGAACCCACTTATAGCTCAAATTAAGTAACAGAGAAGAACTTGATTACTGTATAGAAAACGCAATTACCAAAACGAGAACGAAAAAGCAAAAATTCATAGGAACTTTTCCCTTTTTTCGTTTATGACATCACGAACAAATGGACTTTTTTATTAAATACACTCCAAAAAAGTAGGATAGTAGGATGCCAGACTAAAGAAGAAATGCTTTGCAGAATAATAACTAATGTGTAAAATGAGACAGATGGTTTATTTTCTGGATATCGAAATTAGACTATCGGTACTATCTACCTTTTGAGGTCACGATCCGTAATTCTGAGGCTCTTTGGTATTTAATACCTCTGGTCTGGGTCTGGGATCTCATAAAATATAAATAAATATGTATAAAAAAAAGATGATCACCTGGGCTGAGCTGAGTCCATTAGGTATGATAGTTGTCTGTATACACGAAGTAGTCAGTAAGTTTTTGATATTATACTATATCTGAAATATCGCACATGTCCGTTTCTTCGCCGATATCAGACTACTAGAGGATACAGTTGTCGTACAAACTTTATGATCAAAATCAAGTTGTGGTATGGAAAACTTTTTTATTTGTGAAAAGTTTTATAACTTCGATGCAGCCGAAGTTAACGTATTTTCTGTTTAGCGCAGCTTCAAAAGCTAAGTTAACTCACCTGAGAAAACGGTGAAATGTCAGCTTGACGATTTCCAAAACACTTCGACTGAAGTTGAATCGTCTTATAGTTTCCAATTGACTTCGATTCCGCAAGTAACTATAGGTCTGTAGAAATCCACTATACAAAATATATGTGTTGAATAAGTAATTAAAATATTGATGGAAAAATTGAATGCGAAACTCGCCTGATTAGTAAAAACACATCCATGGCCACCTCCATATTTCCCATACTACTCACATAAGTGAAAAGCTGCATCGGATTGCTGACAATGGCTTTCAACATAATGAAAGTATGGAAAAATGTGGCAATAAGAGCACTCTCAATGCGTCCACCATTCAAGAAAGCAAATGTATTAGACGCGCTATCGGGCGGCGCTAGTATCTTCGAGCAATTTAATTGGAAATCGTAACAAAGTACAAAAGCCTCTAACGAGCTTGGTTTTACTTGAACGTTTGTACTTGGTAAGCGTCTTGTGCGCAAATAATAAGCGCACAAAGTCATAAACACTGTGTATGTGACAAAAACGACGACTAATTTGAATGCAATCATTTTATAAAAATCCCCCGCTTTAAACTCCATTGCCTTCACTTTGAGCACACGTGGTTTGATCACATGGAGGTCGCCACTAAGAAAAATCTCACTTGCAAAATATGCGGGCACCAACTCCATCAACTGTTGAGAGTTACACTCGGACGGCATGCACAAACCGATATGTAAGAGTTGCCGCGCCTGGCCATACACGACGTCTGCTTGGTACGAGGAATTATGGGCGGCATAAATAACGCGATAGTCCACATCAAAAGGCGTTTTGTCCGTTAGCAGGGACATATTCATTTTGTGCGTCACATAACGGGAAATATCCAAGTTAAGGCCGCTCTGTGCCGCCTTGCACAGCTCAGCACTACCCAGCCACATGTTGTCGCCGAGCATGAAAGCGGGTGGTTGCTTGCCGGAGGCGTCAAGTACTGAAAATTGTTAAAAGCATAAGATTTGTTTTATTTATAACAACAATTAGCGCTGCAGCGTGTTCTAACCTTTAAGCGCCCATAATTCGCGCTGCAAAATGCCTCGTCGCAGCTCCTGCAATCGCGCGTGACATTCTTCACCCACTAGTTCGGCTTTGCTTACGGTGGTCAGTGGGAAAAGTATGGTGTTGTATTCCAATATATCTGACAAACTCAGTTGATTTTTCGGCACTCTTGTATCTTCATTCAAATTACCGTTTATTGACGGTAAAATAACCACCATTATTGGCAATAAAAGAGTCCGCGTCAATTTGTACATGATTTCGTTATAAAAGTATGTCTTTGTAATAACCGAAATTGCGCTTCGACCTACTGGTCAGTAGTGCCGAGTTAGAAAGACTGTGTGGCAATACCAAATATTGCATCATATTCATATTACTATATATAAATTCATTTAAATATCGGCACATAATATATCAATTAAATATTTAGTTTTTGCGTAAATGTTGTTAAACAACACGCAGCTTTGACAAATTGAGTGCAATGTAAAGTTGAAAAAACGATTTATTAATATTAATAAAAAGTTTTTATTTTCTATGCTCTTGTCACAGCGTGTAACAATTAAAATAATCGATATTAATATGGAGTATCATTTATATCGTTATATACATATATGTACTATATAAATCATGGGAATGACGAGGCGGAACGGAATGAGTGAAAATTTTGTAACTTTAGTCAATCTGCAAGATTATTTATAATTTGTACCATCTGCCTTCTTTATAAAGAAATATAGACGACATTGCATAATATGGGTTCAATATTTGCTATAGCTACTTTAAATCTAATATAGGGAATATCAATTTTCTGAGTGGCTTTATAATGCACTTGTCTGTCAATATGTAGAATATCTTAGCCAAACTAAATGAACGGACAAGTCGTGGACATACAGTTTGATGACGAAATCGACCTACAAATAATTATTTTGGGAATTTTAGTGGACCTTTCGTAAAATATATTTTTAAAACCTTTATAATCTTAATTTGCGACTTATCTTATCTAATGCAAACTTGAGTTCAATACCAAAAGTCAATAATATAGTAATTTACTACTTCCCTATCGAAGCAAACTTTACAAAAGAGAAATGTCGAAAGAGCGAAAAAATTATGGCATCGTTTGCTGCCCCTATCGTTCTACTTTATTAGCGTCCTATTGAAAATCGCGTTTTCGTGCGTTTTTTTTTTGTTGAAAATTAGAACATTTACTTAAGAAAATCTTATACAATAGTATTACTCAAAATCGATAGCAATGGTTTCACCTCGTTTTAGAATCTAATAATTGTACCACCTTTCTTATCCTACCAACTACGGAACATTTCTTTGGCGTCATGGATATTGAGTTTTGCCCTTGATTTAGCTGGATGACCAGGTCTCATATATGATTTTTTGTTTTGTCTTTAATTATTCATTTTTCATCCATCAGATGCGAAAACTACTCCTCTTTGTAGCGTTCTAGCAGCATTACAGAGATCAATATCGTATTTTACCGTTTTTTGGTTACAAGATCTAGCACCCAATTTTTTTGCTTTTGAATGTATCCGGCTGCTTTAAAACGTTTTGAAATATATCCTTGAATTACTCCCTATTATTCTATGTGCTCTTCTTGTGTTTAGCAACCTAGTAATGCATCTAGTTCTTCATACTTATTTTTTTCAATAGTAATAAACATTACGACCTTAAAAACGTGCAGAGTTTTTTTGGCTAAAACATGTTCTTCATAAATTCTCATAAGAATATCATGACTTGTGGCTGCTTCATATGTAAGTGATGAAGAAAAACTCCTCGCATTAACACTTTTGCAGACACAAGGTTCAACAAATCTGAGTTCAAACAAGTAAGGAAGGGTTAAATTCTGGCTTAACCGAACCGGAGAAAATTCTTTAAACGTTGACAAAACTGCAACTGTATATATCTTGCTTCGCGTCAGCCTAAATTATATTAAAACGAATTCGTTAAATATATGTGTGATTTTAACTTAACTCAATATATTGATCTGGTGTGGAAAACTTCAACCAGAGGTTCTGAATTCATTATATTAAAAATATGAGGGTTAGGCCATGGTTTTAATCAACTTTATTAATATTCAGCGTCAAACTTAGAGAAATTTCACTAAAATATCACACATTTTGACCAACCTAAATGGTTAAATTCAGATAGTTGGGGACAAATGAAAGTCTAGAAGACAAATTTATTCTATTAACCCCTAAAGCTACTTCTACTTGTCAGGGAGGAAAAAAGCATGTGTGTGTGTAACGAAAAGATTTGTTGCTGTTCAAGGGGTCAGAGTCCCATATATTTGAACATTGGTTACGAAAAATTGAACGAGGAATCGAATGGAAAAGTCAATTTTGGGGAAAAAATTGGTGGAAAAGCACAAAAAACTATTTTTTTTTAAGGATTTGGAAATTTTTTTTGGATTTTGAAAATATTTTTATCAGAAAGCTGAGGTTTTTTTACATTCAATTGTATAACTTCAAATTTTTTGTACTGAATTTTCAGGTCGTTAAAAAATAAAAGAAATAGTAATTTTTTTGTTTGATCGAAATACGAGTACAAAACCATGTGGCCAATTGATGGAATGGCCCTTAAATATTATTGTTATTTATGCTGAAAATGAATGAAATCTGTTAAGACCTTTGTCCCAAACTACCAACTTAGTGGTCCTCCATAATGTGATACCCTGAATTCGGTGATTTGTGCTAACCATCTTGACTTTAATAAAAGTACCTCGGACATAAAGCAAAATGTTGTAATGAAACTAAGTATGTATATATAAAGTTTTGTCAACATCAGAGAATATTCCCACGCTATTGAGCGTGCACTCGAACATAGGACTACCTTACTTGTTTTTTTTTTGTTTTTGTTTTTTCTGGTAATAATCTTGATAATATTAATATACTGTGTATACATGGTTTGCTCATAAATACTGGTTAGTGCATCCGGTTGAATATATCATATTAAGATTGTTATTGCTTTCGAGACACAGGGGCAGTTTGATAAACCAGTGATCATTCAAATGATTGGAGTGCAACGAATATGAGTGATGAACAAAAATAAGTTACATGAGCAGTGTGTATAGCGGCACTATAGTGAGGCCGCGACTAAGAAACAATGAATATTGCCATTCGTGAAGAGCTTGTTGTATTAGACTAAAGAACTTTAATAAAATATTAAAAGTGGAATTTTTTTTGTAAGACTGTCGACTGTTAATAATTTGCCATTAGCAACGGAAGAATTCGACATTCATAATTCGATTACAATCAGATTTGGTATCTCAATAAGTTATATAATATTATAACTCGCGGAAAGAAATACTTATTTTAATATTATCCTAATTTATTCAAATGAGATATACATATGTGATATACACACATACACTGTTAAAGTGACGTTCTCTTAATACCTTTAAGGCATCCGGTATAAACTCCACCCGAAGTGCAAAAATCTTTTTATTTGGTATATGGTATTAGGGGAAGTATTGAAGCGATGTTTTCGTGTTTGACATTACGACATATTGTACTAAGGTCCTCTTGCTCTGTGTATGGAAACTTGAAATATTATAGTCTGATATCGACTATTTTTCAGTGTGATTATTCAGGGTATGATTTTTCAGTCATACCTTAAATAAAATTTGTAAGCAAAGAATCATATGGAATCTATAGTTGTGATATATGGGAAGTGGGCTTAGTTCTAGCCCGGTTTAGCCCACTTTACTACTACTTCAAGTAGTTCCTAAGATATGGAGCCTTACCTAAAGTGGGCGATGGTTGCCGAAAGCCCTAGGAAGCCTTCTAAGTTGCCGGACCACTGCAGGATATTTCAAGCTGAAGTCTTTGCGAATGCGAAAGCCTGCAGACAATTTCAGGTTCAACGTTTACTTAGGCAGCCAAGCAGCAAACGAGGCAGTAACCTCATATCGCATATTGGTCAAAAGTGTCTTTGAAAGCAATGAAATAGTGGGCGAGATTGCAAAGAATGGTGTACGGCTTACACCGGAAAACGTGATCAACATTGGGAAACATATGGTCAGAAGCGTGGTAAAAACAATCAAAACCCAATGAAACGAGCTACCTGTGTGCAAAACTGCAAAAGTCATGTTCAAAGCGGTAGGTCGTAAGTACACAAAATTTCTAATTGCACTCTATAGAAAAGACTGTAGGAACATGATTGGAATATTAGCTGCTAATTTTTTGGTCGGACAGATGGAGAAGCTAGCAGGAATTGTCTAGAGCAAGGCACCAGGGAACAATAGAGCATCGTAACGGGCCAAAACTGGTTTATGCGTGGCTCATTGTCCTACCAGAATAACCTAACACAGCAAATGTGGTCATATGAGCTATATATGGTTTGTGAAATATAAACATTAAATCTATTATGGGATAGGATGCCGTCCAATTTTTGAAAATATACAGATGCCCAAGATGTACTAATTTAATTTTGTGTCTTAATGTGATGATTAATTGTATCACCTGATAAGTTTTCAATTAACACCGTTTTGTGATGGTGGCAATATTCCGGTTCTGTCAATCTGCAACATCAACCTCTCTTGGGGGACAAATAACCCGAGAACCAAGTTTCATATCGATATCTCAATTTTTATTTCTTTTATGCGACCATCCTGTTGAGGTCTTTTAATGGAATAATGTCTCAGAAAACTAGAGTCGTAGAGTACGGTGAATGCCGAAGTGATTCAAAGTGCAATTCAGAACATTTTGCTATTGTTTACTGACATATCATATCCCATATCATCTGGGATGTTCATTAATGATATATGAAAACTTCTTCAATAAGATGCATCGTTACCTAGAATAAACTTAAGTATGAAAATGATCACTTCACAAGGATCTGGGTAGATTTGAACAATGGCATGTCGATTAATAAATTTCAAACGCCACTGCTTTTCAATACTTGAATGCTGCTATATAAATAATGACTATCTTTACGACTTCATAATAATAATTGTCAATCGTGATGTGGTAGCCAAGACGTGCTTGCGCTTATCAATGAGTTCAAACCATTCCTATATACTGTATAAATTTATCTAACTATAAGTATTAATGTTCGTTCAACATTTTTAATGGCATATCAATTGATTTTATTGCGGCATTCACTCGTTTACCTAAAGTAAAACACAATAATTAGGCAATAATCGGATTCTACGAAGTAGCATTTAATGCGCATACGAAACCGTTCCCAGGCATTTACGAAATACCAGATATTTATGAGCCGCAACAACATTTAAAAGTTTCACTTGAAAATCCTAGCGCACATCCTGTTTAGTCTGAGCGCTCCGGATCGCACCCGAACCATAAAATTACTATTCGCATTTTCGTGTTGGTG